CTCTGTCTGGTTTCCTGGATGCTGTTTCAATCTGTCTGACCTCATGTTCATCATTGACCTCTGCAGTCCCTCCCTCTGTGATGTAGAGCTCTGTGTAGATCTGGTTCAGAAGAGTTGGGTTTCCTGCTTTAGCGATCCCCTCAAACACACACTGGAACTTCTTCTTCAGGTTGGACTTGAGTTGTTGTCGGCACATTGCAGTGATAGTCCCTGAACAAAGAAGACATGTTATTGAGTTAATGCCACAGTAAATTTGAGATCTTAAAGCTGCTAAAATTATCTGATTGAATTTTTAACTCTTTTAACTCTTAATGAGTAACTAAACTACAAAACAGAAATCAGTTAGCATTTTTTGCTTGTATTTGTAATGTTGGATTTGGGAGGCTGTTAGTTTATAGAAAGGATGCCTGTTCGTGTCCAACATGTTGATGAAGAAAGTAATTTTCTTTTATTTTGATGGTCACAGACCCCCGATTCCATCCCCTGTTGTTCATTATCCCCTTTCTTCCTGCCATTTGATTAGCAACTGTATGCTATCAGAACCCCAACTTCACCACCTATCTGGTCACCAGACTCTGATTTCATCACCTGTGGTTCTACAGTGGACCCATTTGTCACACCTGACTTGCCACCCTGGGACGACATGAACCTTAAAGTTGCTATGAATAAGGTTTTGGTGGCCTACTATGCAACCCCACACCCAGGAAATTTTTGCTGCTTGTTCCATCTGTGCCTGCAATAAGACCTCAAATCAACTCAGCTGCAGTCTTCTTCAGCCACTCCCATCACAAAGCGACTCTGGTGCCACACCGTCTTGGACTTCATCACAGGATTACCACCATCTCAGGTAACACCACCATACTCACTATTGTCGATTGTTTTTCTAAAGCTTCCCACTTCATTGCCCTGCCGAAACTCCCCTCTGCTAAGGAGACTGCTGACATCATGGTCGGTCAAGTGTTTACGCTGTACAACATCCCAACCAACATTGTGTCCAACCGAGGACCTCAATTCACATCTGAGGTATGAAAAGCTTTCTGCACCACCCTTGGGGCAACAGCCACGCTAACCTCTGATTTTCGCCCCCCTCATACTCAAGCCCAAGTCTCCGCTTTTCCTCAGTTCTGTCATCCTCGTTGCTAACTTGTTTTTTTCTGTGCCTTTGTGCCTGACCCTCCCCACCTGCTCTGCCTGCTACATGCCTGGACCTTTTTCCTGTCTACAGTTTTTTATTTTATTTATTTTATTTAACCTTTATTTAACCAGGTGAGTCCCATTGAGATTGACATGTCTTTTACAAGGGAGCCCTGGCCAAGAGGGCAGCAACAAGGTTTACAACAATACAACACACAAAAAATAAGGTAAGTAATATAACATCACTATAAGGCATAAATATATGGAATACATACAGTACATAAAAAACTCATTTAAAGCAGCTACAGACTTCTTTTTTTACAGTTTGTAACAAACATTTAAAATCTCCCAAGGAAACGAGGTCAGACAATTTGAGCGTTTTCTGGATCAAATTCCAGGACCAAGGGGCATTGTAACAAAACGCAGTCTTCCCGAATGCAGTGAAGGCACGAGGGACCGAGAACAATAAAATGTCCTGGGAGCGGAGGCTGTACCCACTGGTAAAGTGAACAAGGAGGCGATTTAAATAGCCAGGGAGAAACCCTAAGATGGCTTTGTAGATGAAAATGTGCCAGTGGAGCCATCTGCGGTAATGGAGTGATGTCAGTCCAGACACTTCATGTAAGAGACAGTGATGGGTGAGAGATTTGGTGTTTAGAATAAAACGCAAGGCACCATGATATACAGTGTCTAACACCTTAAGGGATGCAGCAGGGGCATGCATATAAAGAACATCACCATAATCGATCACAGGGAGAAAGGTAGTCATGACAAGTCTCCTTCTGGCAGCGAGGTGAAAACATTGCTTATTTCTAAAATAAAAACCTAGATTTAATCTGAGTTTTTTGACAAGTCTATCCAAATGAGTGGAAAAGGTTCGTCTGGAATCAAGCCAAACCCCAAGGTATTTATAGGAATCCACTAGTTTTATGCACTTTCCCTCAGAAGTGGAGATGTTAGGAGCAGGAGGCCTGGAGTGTGATCTAGAGAAATGCATAACTTTTGTTTTACTCGCATTTAAGACCAGCTTAAGGTTTTTAAAGTCGGCCTGAATCAAAGTAAACAATTTTTGTAAGTGGTGGAAAGCGCAAGACAGACAGGAAGCATAAGAATAAACAATTGTATCATCAGCGTACAGTTGAAAGTTAGAAGAATCAGAATCTGTTATATCTCTGCCAATGTTGTTGATATAGATCATGAACAAGATGGGCCCCAGAATGGAACCTTGGGGCACACCCCGAGCAATTGACTTAGGAGATGACCTCTGCCCATCGACAAGGACTGTCTGGGACCTGTCCGAAAGATAAATAGCAAACCAATTAACCCAACTGAGACTCAAGCCAATATCATGAAGCCTATTAATTAAGATGGTGTGGTCCACAGAGTCAAATGCCTTGGATAAATCAATAAACACTGCTGCACAGTGTTTATTATTATCAAGGTTTTGAGTTAAGTCATTCAGCACTTTGGAGGCAGAAGTTATTGTGCTGTGACCATATCTAAAGCCAGACTGAATAGAGTTAAGCTGACCACTTTTTAATAAAAACTCCTTTAACTGATCATTCACCAGGGATTCCATAATTTTAGCAACCACTAAGAGTTTTGAAATTGGCCGATAGTTGTCAACGTTAGTGGGATCCTCTCCTTTAAAAATGGGCAAAACATATGCCTCCTTCCAAGATTTAGGGATAGAATTGACACCTAGTCATCTCTGGATTCAGATCGTTACACTTCCACCTTGCAGCAGCAAGCTCAACCTCACTTGGATTAAGCTGGCTGTCTGCATGTCGGCAATAAAACGGTTCAAACACATTTAATATATGAACTGATGTTCCATAGTTCAGATGATGTATATAATAATTTACAGTGTTTTTTTGTCACCAACTGTATGTGTGTAACGTGTTTCGTGTGCTGAGCGATCATAAACGGCTGAGAAGAGGTTCCAGGTGAGGCAGGCAGTTCTCTTGCCTCATGGCAGGGGGCGCTCTGATCCCAGACATGCTTCTTGTGACTCCGCAGCTGCAGAGTAAGTGACAGCAAGCTAGACTAGGTACGATATACAGTTAGCAAGTCAAGTGCAGCGAAGGAAGATAAGGAAACTTTTATAAAAAAGCAACGCATATTTCGTCCAGAAGGAGCGGAGCATGGACTTCATTTAAAAGGTAAAGCTAAGACTGCAATAACTGAAAAAAAAAGAAACATGCGTTTTGTGGGCTACAGCTTGTACGTGTAAAGAATGCAGATATGAAACATAGCCGGTAAACTGCTGTCAATCAAATGGCAAATATGCTACTGTGTAGAGTGTATATATTTGTAAATCTGATTCTGATGAAGTCAGCGCCTCACCAGCCATGAACCTCACCGCACGTCACTGGTTGGGTGAGTAGTTTGATAAAGCTTGGTTGTTTGTTTGATTTGTGCTGCCACATTGGATCTCACCTGTTGTTCTCATGACACACACACAAGTGACACACAGTGAGCCAGCGGAGGCTAGTGAAGGATTTAAAGTCTTATGGAGATTGCAGTCATTAACCCCCGGCGCATGTGAGGTTACAGTAGCTGGTTTGTGGGTCTGTCTGTGTTTGTTTGCTACCGAATAACTTGGGAACGGGTAGCTTTCAAGGCCTGAAACTGTAAGGGTAGACAGTAGAGCCAATAAATTAGATCTGTGACTGGTGGATTTTGCTAAAATTGCTTTATTCACAAGTTATGGAGTGATTTGTACTGTAAAACGACCGTGCCAAGTTTCTGCTGCTCTGTCAGACATAATTGTCACTGGCAGTGTGTAAGTAAGCTTTACAAACTACCTACAACACTCGCTAAACACATTTATAGTGAAAAGACTTTGCTATCACAAGACTGTCTTTGTTCAGCTGGGGAGTTGCTTCCTCAAGCGAGGGAGTTTAAGTATCTCAGGATCTTGTTCATGAGTGATGAGAACATGGAGTGTGAGGTGGATAGACAACTCGGTGTGGTGACAGCAGTAATGCAGGAGCTGTACTGGACTTTCGTGGTGAAGAGAGAGCTGAGCCGCAAGGCGAAGCTCTCGATTTACCAGTCCATCTATGTCCCAACCCTCACCTATGGTCACGAGCTTTGGGTTGTGACCGAAAGAACGAGATCGCGGATACAAGCAGATAGGGTGAGGAGCTTGGACATCCGTAGGGAGCTTGGAGTTGAGCCGCTGCTCCTGCGCATTGAAAGGAGCCAGTTGCGGTGGTATAGAAATCTGATTTGGATGCCTCCAGAGAGGCTTCCTCTGGAGGTTTTCCAAACACGTCCACCTGGGAGGAGACTCCGGGGCAGACCCAGAACCCGCTGGAGAGATTATATTTCTCGGCTAGCCTGGGAACGCCTCAGGATCCCCCAGGAAGAGCTGGAAAATGTCGCCAGGGATGGATGGATGGAAGGATGGATGCTACCATGATACTAATTCTCTGGTAAAATAAAATCTAAACTTAAAATCAACATAAAAAACCATGAACATAAAATCCTCTTACTGCTATGCAGACGGTCAGCCAGCTCCTCCTGCTTCATTCTCCTCAGGAAGTGCAGAGTGATCTTCAGGAATGACTCTCTGCTGCTCCTCCTCTGATCTTCATCCTCACCCACCAACACCTCCTCTTCCTCCCTCTGACTCTCTAAGCATTCTGAGTAATCTGGACCCAGAACCTTCTGGATCTTCTTCAGCTCATTCTTCACGAAACTGACAATGTTCTCCTCCAGCAGCTGGAACAGAGAAATATATCGAGTTTACTTTTAGCTGAAGACAAATTCAGATCTCTGTTTAAATCCATTACTGAGAGCAGTGTGTATAATATTAGGGCCAAAATCACAGTTGAAATGGAATCAACACCTGAAACTGTTTCAACAGTTATTGAACATCATAACCTTCATGAACGTTGGACTGTTTGCAGCACTGATGGATTTGATTGTAATATTTGGAATCTAATAAGCTGCTCAGTAAATGTTACATTTCATCAGTAAATCAGAACAAATTCTTCAGTCAGGTTAATGTGACAATACGTGTTGAATGTAGAATAGTTCTCACCATAAACACAGAGTCCAGATCTGTTTGATGCTGAGGGACAGACTGACCTCTGAGATCCTCTGAGTTCTGCTGCTTAACGCTGCAACAACATTCAACTTTAGCACATTTACACTTTGTTAAAGGAGTTGTGTTCTATAGTGATGAATCCTGACAGAAACACAAAGTGATCTCTAATGTAAACAGTGTTCTCATAGTTGGATGTGATGTTTTCAAAGAGGAAATACAATCAACACTTTCCATTCTCACAATTTATCAACAGACTGGTGTCCATGTTTAAACTTCTTCTGAATCATTTTCTTGACAACACTAACTGGATTTCTGAACCAGTGCAACAAGAGAAACACAGAGGGAGAAGAGAAATGTTGGGAAATAAGGGAATATAATTTTTTTACAGGGACAAATGTACATTTTCATTAATTACTGAGGTCATATTTAGTGATTAAAAAGTTGCAGTAATCTTATTACTCAAAAATGTGAAAAAAAACAAAACAAAACAGTAACACTGCAGGTTCTGCACTTAAATTAGTTATGGTGTCATTAAACTTGAACAATTGAGATTTTTTTTATTTTTTTTTTCAAAAAACATGAGTTTGATACTGTTTAAAATTGAGACGGTATTATTGATAGTCTTCAGATTATTGTTTGTAGGCGAGAACTGATCTTACCCTTCATGAACAGACTGGTGTCCATCTTTGAACTCAATGGGATTAATCATAGACCCATCACTCTTCATAGACACACAGCTGGATTGAGGAGAGGCTGGTCTTTCCTGATTCATTCTGATGGAAACAAAACCACCAACACACAAGTGTAACTTAAAGGGATCCTCCACTGAAAATCTTTGATTTATTAAATACCCACTGTCTCTGGGGTCTGAAAACTAGAAGTCACTCCACATTGTGTACTTATTAATGCTGGCTGTCAATTAGTTTTAGGACTTATGTTAATATTTTATTCATTTATGTCTTTGCTGTGATGGCACCCAAACTCTGGAAAACTGAGGTCTTGTTAGTCCTGGCAGGGTACAGACTATTGTTGTTTGTAGGAGAGAGCTGATCTTACCCTCCAACAGACTGGTGTCCATCTTTGAACTCAATGGGATCAATCATAGACCGATCACTCTTCATGGACACACAGCTGGGTTCAGGAGAGGCTGGTCTCTGCTCATGAATCCTGATCAAAGAAAATGAAAGTCAAGTGTGTTTTTACAATAGCTTTAATCAAAATGTGATCAAATAAATGATAAAAACAAACAAATACATTGCACTTGTTCTACAATAGAAGACGAAAAAGAAATTACATTCTTCTATCAGCAGAATGACGTCCATCTTTGAATTCACCAGATTCATAAATCTGTTTGAGATTTGTCACAGAAACTTGGGTGACTTCACACCCAGGTTCAGGTTCAGGTCCAGCAGGTCTGTTCTGCTGCTTTGTTCTACAACACAACACACACACAGATGTTTGAGTGTGAATAATGAAGGTCAGTGATGTGAGTGCTGAGCTCTGACATGGAGAAGAGTCATGGACAGTTAGAGATGTTCATCTCACCTCTGAGCTTTACTCTGGTTCTCATGTTCCCCCCACAGAGTGGTTTTAGAGGGAGGGACTCCCTCCTCTCTGTCCTCACACTGATCCATAGCAGAGCCACACCTTCACACAAACACAACAACCTGCTCAGTACAACATTCACACTGCTGTCTACCACAGTGTC